TTATTCTTTGCTACATTTTACTAAATGTATTTTCTAGCTCAAAAAGTTGAGACACGTTTTTATTTTTTACTTTAGCAAATATCTATTCCTACACAATGAAGGAAATTATACATGCACTAAATATGTTAACGTTTTCTCTTTTTTGCGGTGTGAAAATAATTGTCGTGGTGGGGATGGGGGGGGGGGGTTACAGCCTCCTGTTTGGATCAAAACGACCCCTTCATCTTCCCTGACACGTCTGCAGGAACGTTACCGATTTCCAGGGAAGGTTAATTAACTTAACCACCTGAAATGGACCTCAGCAGCTCTCCCACAGACCAGATCCAATCACACCCTAACTGTTCACCTGACACTTTGTGGAGACCTGTGCATTTATGCCAGGAGTTTAACGTCGGGCTTCCTCCACAGTCATTTTGTTTGCTTGTGCAGTTTTTGCATCTGCAGTTAAATTTCTATAAATATATAAACATAGTTATTTGCAAATGAACATCTGGCCCAGATTGCAGGTGCCTGAATGTTTTTGTTGCCTTACTTTTTATTGCCAATAAAGAGAGTGTGATCAATCGAACCTATTTTGGATCAGATTATTATTCCTCCTTTTCACCTGATGTCTAAGCCACTGCTGGTGTCACTGAAAGACTTAAATGTCAGAGAAATTGTTAATTTCTTGGATTGCAATTTTTTTAATTTCTTAGTCCAAGCAAGAGTTTTGCTAAAAAAAAATCTTACTCTTCATTAAAAGCTGTTTGGGACGAAAACTGCGACTATGATCTCCAGACTTAAAGAGACATTTTTAAGTTTTTTACTGAAAAAATGTCTTTAAAATATCCTTTTTGTCAGAGTCTTGGTTTGTTAGTTCCTGTTTTTCTTGGTTTTCCATTTGTTGTCCTCTGCTGCCCTCTTGTGTCCTCTTTCCCTTGCTCTGTTTTCTGTTCTGCCTTCACCCGTTTTCAATCCCCTCGTTAGCTCTCTCTTTGTCTCTGTCCCCTTTAAAAGCCCTCCCTCTTCAGTTCCTGTTTGCTGGATCCTCGTCTAACTTCTTCCTGCCTTCCTCGTCTCTCTCTGCTCTTAGAGTTTTGGTTTACCCCTGATGTCTCCTTGGTTCTGGTACGTTTGTTATTTTCTGTTGGATTTTGATTCCTGCCCCTGTTCCTGTGAACCTTAATAAACCCACTTTAATTCACCTCTGCCAACTGGTCTCTGCATTTGGGTCCTCCAACAAACACCGCCTCATGACACTTTTTATTTGACCCTTTAAAGCTAAAACATCATTTGATGAACAGAATGACACCTGAGTAGCTCAGCGCCGATGCATCAAAAAGCCTGTAGCCCGTTTTAGCTGAATGTGCTTTGTTGCGAAGTTCCTGCGCTGTTTCCGTAAATGTGATGTCATATCTATTCCTGTTAAAAAAAAAAAAACTACAGGACCTCAAACCAGCCAAAACTGGACATGGGCCCTCGATCCGTGGTTATGATAAAAAACAGAAACTATTTAATAAATAGTGTGTGCTCTATAGAGGGAATTATGCTGTATTATTGTCTCAGGCAAAGATCCATTCTATAAATGAAAGTTTGGAAAAAAATCACATTTTTGGAAATTTAGAAATGAAACTGTGATCAACCATAATGTTTTAAGAATAACTGCTGTTTTATTAGTTTTTTTATTTTTTTTTTGTCACATTTTTTTAAAATAACTTTTAATATATCCTATTAAAAGAAAATAACCCAAACTTTGTTTGTTTTTTTCAAATTAAATGTTCATATTTTTTTTTTTTATATATATAATTTTTTTTTGTTAGTTTTACAGGGATATATGCATTTTCAGATTATATCTTTCACATTTGCTTTTTTTTATTTTTTTTACAGATTATATATTTTTGATGTTCTTTTTTCTTTAACATTTCTGTTTAACAAATAGGGTCTTTTGAATTGCATTCCTAGTCAAATTGTATTTTCCAGATCACCTCTCTTCACTTCTGAGGGTGGGCTTTCCTCTGGCATTAGGAGCATTTCTATTGGTCGGTTGGATGTTAGGAGCAACATTTTATTGGTAAAGAGCAATAATTTAGTATTTAATAATTTAGTTTCACTTAAAGTGAAAAAATAAATTCACTTAAAGTGAAGAGAATGGGATGTGTTAAATACAATTTGTAAAACAAATGAAAAAAATTAAATAAAGAAACAGAAAATCTAAAAATGAATCAATAAAAATGAAAAAAATAAAATTAAAATAAATGCTATATATGTGTGTGTGTGTGTGGGTGTGTGTAAATAAAAAAAACATGGAAGTTACTCTCAAAACTCTTTTTTTAAATTAAAAGATTTTTAAAGTTGCTGAATAGCTTTTTTTCAAATCTCCATTTACAAAACATTTTCTTTGCTTGCAATGAAAGTGGAACCAAATTCCCTTCCTAGTGCTAATATTAGTGCAAAAAAATGTGCATCAAAGTGGCCATCAGAAAACCTTTGAAGTTATACCGTTTGTGCAATGAAGACCGGCCAAAGATCTCCATTTCTCTACACTCCAACCCTGTGAGATTATGTTTTTTACACGACGATGTATTTAACATGTGTAGTACTTACAGGTGAGACAGAGAGGCCAGGTCACCGAAGATTCCCTCCTGCAGCTCAGAGATGTCGTTGCCATGGAGAGAACTGTGAGACAGAAACGGTTAGAGGCCAGAAACGGTTTAGAACATTCAAAGTGAACCCTCGCTGAGCTCAGGGACTATTACAGCCGCAGAGGCTCAGTCAGCTTAAAGGAAGGAACAAATGATAGCTTGGAATAAAGTAAAGGGACTGCATACTAATGGTGTGTGTGTGTGTGTGTGTGTGCTCACAGCAGTCTCAGGGAGCGCAAGCCGGCCAGCGCCAGAGGAGGGATACACTGTAATGAGTTGTAACTGAGGATCCTGCGAAAACAAAGCAAATTTAAGGATAAACAAAACAATTAAACAGCCAATATCCGGGTCTAAATGTAGGAACTCTGCCCTGAACAACTGAATTCTGTTTCAAGCTTTCTTTCCTCATTTCTATCTGAATCGAGTCCAGCTAACTGCAGTAACTCTGAGATAGTTTAAAGATGCAACAAGTCATTCATTTTTCATTTCATTCAGTTCATTTCCATGTGACTGAAGGGGCCACTTTATCTGCTTAAGTATAAAAAAACCATAAGAATGTCCAGAGGGAGACTGGTAGATTTCAGCTTGTTGTAAAAAGTACTTATCAACTCAAAAACAAAAGCTGTTCTTTATTTCAATCAAACTTAGATCTTAATAAACATTTTAAAGTTTTATTTTCTGGTTTGTATTTTTTCAAACTTCCTTTTATAAAACCTGCTTTTAGCTTTTAAAAATAACGGGAAACAATTCACTACATACTGGGAATGTATGCTGAAGGAATGCAGCAGTTCTTTTAGGACAAGAGACCCCAAGTTAAAGCAAAGTATTTGGGCAGAAAGAAGCTAGAAAACCTTTGATTATCCAGTTTAAAATCAGATCTAACAACTACTAAGGAGAGGTGTGTAAACTTTAGAACTTAAAGTTATAGTGGAGGATGTTCTTTAGCCGGTGGATCATCAAAATAAGTGGTCCTCCCAATTGTCAATCATTCAGGTGATATGTTTAAATAAGGTCGTCCTGCATGCTCGTCCCCATTTTCACTTACCTGTGTTGAGTCTGACATAGTGGAAAAATTGCAAATCTTTTTTTGGGAAAGTGAGCTTGTATGAGTGATGCAAACAGCAACTTTTAAACAGAGCGTGCACGAGGAGAAATTGGGCTTGTGCACGCTCTCACACGCGTTTATTAGGTGTTCCCTCGTGGTAGCGGGTTGTGCACCTGCATTTTTTTTCTTTTTGGAGAGGGCGGGTCTTTTCTAAACTCTGCGAAAATCCTCCACTACCTTTAAAGAAAACTGAAACACTTTTAAAGCTGCAGCTTAAACTTTCAGACCCATGAAAATCCTTCAGATTTTACCTTCAGCACCTATTTTCTGATTCTACTTTGGACTAAAATGTCATCAGTCATGAATCTCCTTTAATTCACTGTAATAAAATAATAAAACTTATAGAAAATTTGTGTGAATACTCACAGGGTGGTGAGTTGGCTCATATTGGCGAAGGAGTCATTGGACAGGGAGCTAATTTTATTGTTGCTCAGGTCTCTGCAGGGGTAAAGGTCAGGAGGAATCAATACACATTAATGCTTTATGCTTGTCTCACAAAAAAATGCAGGAACAACAAACCCAAACAATAACATAACAAGTTACACAATGTTTAATTTGTTATCCTTTTTTTCCCCCTCTGGAATCATAGGCTGACTTTCAGTTCAAAAATACCTCCTTGATCCCGAAGAGAAATTAAATAAAACATTTTTGAAAGCTCCAGATTTTTGACTCTTTCTCTGTTCAATTCACATGAGGGATTCTGCTTGATGTTTTGACTCCTTTCTCTTAATCCAGACCTCAGCCAACAGCTCCATCTACTGGCCGTTTGTAGAGTGTGGAAGGCTGTCCACATCCTCTATCAAACATCACCGTTAAACCACTGATCTCCTGATTAAACCTATAACTGTCTGCTTCCATGTGAAGGCATATTCATCCTTTACATGCTTAAAGGCTAAAATTATGATCAAAATTTAAAAAAGTGAGTAAAATGTCATATGAGAACTGGTAGTAAAAAAAGAAAAGAGCTGCTTTTCACCCTTTGCCACCCTAAAAGCAGCATAAATGTATAGCTACTTTTTTCATAATTCTGCTTCATTCTATCTCTATTCTACCACTCTACAGAATCTATTAGTTCAATCTCTAACGTTCTGCTCTCTCTGCCTTTTTTCATAGTAGCTTAATCTTGTCTGTTCCTGTTTGGCTGTGACTCCATCCTGGAGAGAAATATCAGCTGTGCTGCTGCCATCAACACCTTAGATTATATATGTTAGAGATCAGCCTGTTTTTTCAGTGTAATTCTGTTTCTCTGACTGTGACGGGCTGGATGTGCTCTCTTCATCCTCTGACATGTGAGCTGGCTCGGAGCTCATCTGCCTGGCTGTGTGTTTCCTGGACGGGGCCGCCTTTTACAGCTGCTTTTTGTATTTCTGCTTCTGTCTCCTTGAACCCCAGTCGGCCTCGGCAGATGGCCGCTCACACTGAGCCTGGTTCTGCTGGAGGTTTCTTCCTGTTAAAAGGGAGTTTTTCCTCTCCACTGTCGCTACAAGCATGCTTAGTGTGAGGGATTGTATTTGAGTCAATGAGTCGATGCAATCAACTGGTTTTCCTTAGATAGAACATTTTTAAATCAATTTGACTGGATGATCTGGTGAACTGTAAAGTGCTTCGAGATGACGTGTTGTGAATTGGCGCTATAGAAATAAACTGAATTGATTTGAATAGAGTAAAATATAAATCTGTATTATCATTGGTACAGTGGATGTAAAACTTGTTTAGCGTTTCTTACACAAGCTGCAGGTACTTGAAGGTGGCTAACTCCTTAGGAACACTGGTGAACTGGTTTCCATCCAGGTACCTAACAAGAGAAGGCATAGAAACACATAAAAACCTGCTCACATCGATATGCTGGACAGAGAAATTATGACAGCAATGATTAAAGGTGTTCAATCAGTGACTCTAAGCATGAATTAAAACTTAATAAGTTTTAAAAGTTGTCCTAAAACCACCTGAACCAACTTCATCTGTAGTGCCTTCATGAAATACAGTATTACACTGAAATAGTTTTTTTTTTTTAAAGTACAGGTTTCTTAAAATAATGAATATAATGAACATATGAAGCTGTTAAATGAGATTATCTGCCAATAGAATCCGTTTTATTGGGCTTATTAATTAGATGTCGTGCACTTGAAATAATATCATGTAGTTTATATTTCATTTTTGAAGTGTGCATGTTCTATTTTTTTGTTTGCTGTTTTTGTTCAACACTGGAAAAACTGATCATAAGGTAGGTAAAATGAATACTTAAAATAGGTGTATTTGTCCAGGAAAAAAAATATGATCAGTCAATGAATGAGTATTTTTGCTGATAGAATAAGGTAATTAGATTACAGAAACCTAAAATTGGTAAATTTACTTATTGAACAGCTTAAAACAAGGTAGTATATATTTATCTTAAGAGAAATTGACCAAATTATCCTTGATTTTGTAGCAGTGTGCATTTCCTTTTCTTGTTTTTGTTCAACATTGTAAAAACTGATCGGAAGCTTAGTAAAAAAATTATTAAAATAATTGTATTTAACCTTAATTTGAAAAGGTTTAAAAGATAACCTGCCAATAGAATGAATATGTTTGCCTTAAGATGAGATAATTAGATAAAATGCTCTTGAAGTAAGAAAATGATTCTTATTTTAAACAAAAATCGTGTTATACCATTAGTAAATTTGCTTACTCAGGAGCTTAAAACAAGCAAGGCAAGTTTTTTATATAGCCCAATTTAGTAGTATTTTGCATGAATTAAACAGTAACATTCAAGATACCTAAAAGCAGTTTAAAAGAAAATAAAGATAAAACATAATAAAAGCAGATAGTATAACAAAATGTTTTTTAAATTCCACTGGAAGGAGAGTTTTTGCCATTAAAATACAGCAATTAGATAATAATAATTTAAATGTGGTTGTTAAATGAATAAAACAAGCAAGAATGAACTTATCTCAAGAGAAATTGACCCACTTCTAGTTTATTTTTGTAGTGTAAAGCCTGAATGCTTTCACTCACAGCTCGGTGATGTTGCGGGGAAGTCCTCTGGGCAGAGCCTGCAGGTGTTTGTTGCTGCAGCGAACGACCGTGTCCATGCAGGAACACTGACTGGGACACTGCGGCCCTGCAACGCAGCGCCGGTCATCCAGCCCTGAACCTGCGCACATGCATCAGAAGGCATGAGTACACTTTGGGGGCTCTTTGATTGCATATTATTGTTATTATTCCTCTCCATATTCCAGACTTGGGGAATCGTACCATCCTCGCAGCGGAAATCAGGCACAGCTACATCCTGCAGAGGAATCCCTCGAAGAAAAGAGGGGCTCTGACACCGAGGATTCCCCGTAACGATCCGACGACTTCTGAGCCACGCCCCGAACCAGGACAGGTGGCAATCACAGTTGAAGGGATTGGCCAAGAGGTTTCTGATGCACAACAGAGGAACTATCAGGGATTCATATCAAGATCAAAAACCTGCTCTGGATAACATGCCTGGCTCACTAACAGAGTGGACAGGTTGGGCAGCGTGTCAAAGGCCCCAGGCAGGATGGTAGTGAGCTGGTTGTCGTAGAGGGAGAGCAGCCGGACGTTGGACAGCCCTGTGAAGCTGCTGTTATGGATGCAGCTAATCCTGTTGTTCCTCAGCATCCTAACAAACAGAAACACACAAATAACATGAATGCCTTTGTTCACATGATTTCAAACACAGTTACATTGTTTTCTGTAATGGGTATACATTTTTACCTTTCATATAAGGCAGGGCAAAGTTTATGTAGCACATCTTAGCAATGTCACAGTCTTGATTTTGTTATGTTTCTTTTGAGCATGCACTTTTACTTTGCTAGTTTTTCTAGTTTTAGTTGTTTAATTCTTATTTTGTTGTGTTTTCTGGTTATCTTCAGTTTCCAGGTTTTTATTTGTTGGCCTCTGCTGCCCTCTTGTGTTCTCCTTTTTCCCTAGCTCCTTTCCTGTTCTGCTCTGTTCACACCTGCTCCCAATCTGCTCATTAGTCCTCTCTTTGTTTCAGTCTCCCATAAATACTCTCTCTGTGCAGCTCTTCAGTGCTGGTTCCTCGTCAAACTTCTTCCAACTCTGTCTTTCTGAGTCTTCCTCCTCGTGATGGTTTTCCCTCAGATGTCTCCTTGGTTTCTGGTTTGTTTGACTTTGTTTTCATTTTTTGATTTTTGGATTCCTGCCTCAGTTGTTTGAAAACACTTCATTATATCTACAAGAAACTCCCCCGCCTCCCTTGCTCTGCATTTGGGTCCACAAACCACAATCAAATCCTGACAAGCAAGACAATTTAAAGTGATGAACATAATGGTAATTGGGTAATTATGAGTTGGACAACAAACTTAACTAATAATGTTTAGATCTAACTGTCAAAGAACACATTATAAAATATGTTTTCAATCTCGATTTAAAGCAACTGAGGGTTTCAATTCTTTTACAGATTTCTGGGAGTTTATTCTAGATTAGTGGAGCATTAGAACTAAAAGCTAATTCTCCATATTTGGTTCTGGTTTTGCAGAGTAGATGAGATCCAGTAGATCTCAGACAACAATCAGCAATGTAATTTGGAGCAAAGCTATTCAGTGATTAATAGACTAACAGAAGTATTTTTAACGTCTATTCTCTGAGATACAGGGAGCCAGCGAAGGACTGTAGAACTGGACTGATGTTCTCCACTTTAGTTCTAGTGAGGATGCAGGCAGCAGCATTCTGGATCAGCTGCAGGGATCAATGTTACTGAAGATGAACGAAGCAATAATTAATTTTTCAAGGTCCTGCTGAGAGATTAGTGCTTCGATCCTGGAGATGTTCTTCAGGTGATAGAAGGTCGACTTTGTCTCTGTCTTTATGAGCCTCTGAAGGATTCAGGTCTGAGTCCATCACTGTAGATTTAGAGCCAGATGGCTATTTTCTAGCTGGATTAATGGAAGCTGGGCACTAACTTTGAAACGTTTAATTTTTTTCCTCTCTGCATTTACCCAGTGCTTGAGCAGGTTCATAGTCACCTGGTGACATGCTAATTGACAGCTGAGTTTGGTCTGAAACTGTAGAATAAAAATGTAAATCAACAATCTATTTGTAAGGTATACAGAGTGAATATTACAGAGCAATACAGCAAGCATGGGAGAAATGAAGTGCAGCAGTTTTCTAGCCTCGTGAGACCATCCTGATCTCGCAAGCTTTCAAGATTTCACTCGCTAATCAGTCTGGAGACTCTCCGTTAAAGAAAATTTGGAGCTGTTCACCAAACGAACGTCCAATCAGCGTAGGCTTTGAGGCGGGTTGAGATGTGACGCAACGAGAAGCGCGACAGTTCAGTCTAAAGAACATAGCGGCTTCAGCCGATGAAACTAGCGTTAGCGTGGCTATCGAGCAAGTTTTATCGGAATTACAGAGTATTTCTTCACTGAAAGAAGAGCAAAACACTGCTCTGGAGGCTTTTCTCAGAGGAAAAGATGTTTTTGTTCTGCTCCCGACTGGTTTCGGCATGAGTAGCCTGGCTTGTGGTTGTGTTTTCGTCATCGCTCTGTTAGTACGTCATATGCTTCGTTGATCTGATTGGTTTATTTGGCCCGTCTATCACCAACATAGGCCAATCAGCTAACCAGTATTTTCGCCCCTTCCCAAAATTACTTAAACGGAAGGTTTCCAGATGGATATGCGGAGCAAATCCATCTGGCGGAGTCAGGTTAGCAGTTTTCATGAGCTGCTCGTCTCTGACCCGTCTGAAGGATTCAAAAGACAGTATGAGAGACACTGTTATAATTTGCTTCATTGCCTGTTTTTCCTTTCTTGGACATTTCCTGAAGTTTCGACCCAAAGCAGAAAACCATAAGAGCTGAAGCTGCCATAAGGACAAACTTAGATTTGCTTCATATTCATACTTTCTCTATTTCATTTGTTTCACTTGTAATGCATAAACTTTATTGATAGAACTAAAATGAAATATTGTGATATTCAACCGGCTGCAGGCGGTGCTGCAGCTCCAGCTGAGGAGCAAGTTTCTAAATGATGCCTCAGACTGGAAGCTCCTGTTGATGCCAAATAATAAAGGTCGGTTAGGAGGACATGCAAGGCTTATAAACACTTGGGTTTTTAAAAACATATCTCTTCTTGTGTGTTTTGTTTTTGAATAAGCTGCATCTATATTTTCCCAAGGACTATACATTCTCTCTCGGCGGGGTTGTGCATCTCTGGCCTGCGGCTAACATGATACATATCTTAACTACCAGGCAACACATGATAAATATTTATAGAGCAAAATTCAATGAAGCGCCTCTCAGACACAGCCAAGGCCTGTTTAAATGATTAATCTTGTGGAGGTGTTTTCGCCCCTTACACTTTATTCTTAATCTCACACCTACTGGTTTATATATATATATAAAAAAAAACAACATAAAAGCAAAAAAACAAAAACAAGGTGCCAGTTTAAGTTTTTACTATGCTAAATCTAAAGAATTGGGCTTTGACTAGGCCAAGCTGAAACCGCTTTTAGTCTCTTTAACCTCTCATACATAAGTCCATCTGATTGTGTTTTTAATCCTTGTCTTGAGGCTTTTTCCAGGGTATAAAGTCACAAGCTGATGGATGGACTTTATTTTGCATGATTTTCTGCTAGAGAACAGCATTTGTGGTCGTGACGTCCAAACCTGTTTGGTTCTGCCCGTTAACATGAGCAGATTGTTGTTCTACACACAGTTTACAGTTTGTAAAAGAAAAATGAGGTTCAAAGCCGTGAACAAGGAGGAAATAATCATATATAAATAAAATCCATGATGATAATAACTAATAACAGTTTTAGTGAATCTTGTAGCCTATCTAAAAGCACTACAAACAAAATAAAAAAACAACACAAAAAACATAAACTGCGCTTTATGGGGAAAAAAAATCCCTGTTCTGAAGAGATGCCCCGCCCAATTTCTAATCTATACCAAAAGCCTGGCGTGAAACTTATCCTAATCCTAACATTTACAGGTTCATACCTAACCCTAACCCCAACCTAAACTCGGTCCACACCGTAGTCCTAAATGTGACCACTGACCCAAAAACAGCAATTCCCCCCATGGGGTCCAGGTGTCAAGCCCCACAAGGAGCAGCTGGTCCTGCTATTTTACCAGGAAATGGGCCCCACAATGCATCAAACACACAGAAACCACCCCATGTCTCTTTGCTGGTTCTGTTGATTTTCTGTTTTTAAATAAACAAGCCGCTATATTTAAGTTCAGTCACTGTTTTTACATTTAGTTTAACTGTATAAAGGTTGTCTGCTGCATCTGCAGCGGCATGAACACGTTTTTCCCTTTATCATTATTCTACATTAGTTATTTCTGATAATGTTTACATTCACACACACAATCTTTCACATTGTAAAATGGTTTAAACACATTCAAATAGTTCTAAATTAGTTGTAAGCTAATCAGACCTTAATCCAAACTCTTGTTAGGTTTATGCTTTATGCATCATGTGCATTGTTACTTTGCTAGCCGGATTAGACAGAGTAGAAGGCCTTCCTTTACATTGTGGATGTCACTGTGTGTACGGAGGTCATCTAATCAGGACAGCCTTCATGTCTTTAAACATACACAGGATATGGGAACATCTTGGAGCCGGTCTGATAGAGGAGAGCTATCTGTAATTCTGAAGCATAGAAGCAAGCTGCATGAAGTTCAAGACATGGATGGCGTGTCAGTTTCTGATACGGACAGCCAAGCATCCACCTGGTGCAACACATAGACCCATGAGCTATAAGAAGCAGGAGATGGGCTTGTTTGGGGCTCAATCTTTGTCGGACGCTCGCGGACGTGATTTTTGAGCCCACAGCTGTGCAAGCTCCAAGCATTTTCTCTGTCCTGTAACGACCTGATCTGGAATAAACTCTGTTACTTTTTTACTCCTGTTTTATAGTCCTTTTTTATATGGTTTTACCCAGTTTGAGTTAAGAGTAGTAAATAACTTGCTCCCAGGAAAAGAACCATGAGGAAGCCCCGAGGCGCAACGGCTTTTTAGGGGACATAACTTCCTCATTTAGCACTCTTCAAGATAAATGTTGGTTTTCAAACAAAATTAAGTCAAAAACGTGATTTCATTGCATCATTTTATTTGTTATCATTTAAAACCATTTATTTTCTTTTCCATGTGTACATAATGTCTATTTACTTTAGTTGAGTTTCACTAGTTTGCTTAAGACTTTTTAACTAAAATAAGTTTGACTTAGAGTTGAATGATTTTTGTTAATAAATTCTTACATTTTGAATAGAAGTTGTTGTGATCTTATCTGTGAGAGACCATTAGGCATCAGTCTGTCGTTCCAATTTGCACTTGATTAAATATGAAGACAGATTTTTTTGAGGATTGACCATAATAATAAACATTATGAACATCTGATAAGGCCCCAAAATAGTCAAAGATTTCATGTGAAATGAATTTAAATCTTCATTCACAACTCAGCTTCGCTGTTTACCTTTGAGTTAATGATAAAACTGAACGCACTGTTTATTAAATAATGGATTCGATTTTGTCAGTGAAATCTCCTGTAAATAGTTTATCTCTATGTTTCAAACTAAAAACTGTGTCTGTATCAGTGACATTTAATACATCTTCTCTTCCCTGATTTTTTTTAAAGAACAAATTAAACGCTTCACCACAAGAACAAAACTTTTCTTTTAAAGTTTCATTTCGTTGGACTGTTTTCCTCTCCATAAGCTCCTGATCTGAGAACCCAGATTGAACTAGAAATGAAAACATGAGATGTTTTTGCCAGTATTTGGAGCATTTCATGCGCAGACGCAGGCGGTTAAACTCACAGCATGCGCAGGCCCTCCATGCCTTTAAACATGCTCCCTCGCACGGACTCCAGGTGGTTGGCTGTGAGGTGAAGCTCCACCACAGAAGAGGCACCTTCAAACGCACCATCCTCAATCTCTGAAATCTTATTGTTGCTCAAGTTACTGAAAATAAAAAGCAGAGAAAGATAAAACAGACTTGTTCTGTTTGCGGCTCATTTTTCTTATTTTCCCTAATCTTTTTTTATAGCTAAATGTGATCCAACATGATAAATAAATGAAAACTTAACTTACTAACATGAATCATGACTCTTTTCTTTTTATTATGGCACATTTGTTAAAGTAACTTACATTTTCTTGAGTTGTGATAGACCCTTGAAGGCCCCGGTGGCCTCCAGCATGGACAGGTCATTGTTGTTAAGTCGCCTAGAGCAAACGATGCAGATAAAAATAGAAAAGCAAAAAAAAAAATATGTCATTACTATAAATGTTTGGCACTGAATTTATACATTATGCAAATAATATTATATGCTTCTTAATGCATCTAAAATGTTTTATCACTATGGAGAATAAAACTAGACTGTTTTTTGTGGGGTTAAATAGCTGTAAAAAAAAAAAGGATGCATATATGTCTAAAATTGTAAATTAAGTCAATAAACGTGAATGAATTTAGGATTTGCATTTGCATCTTGTTGTTAAAACAAACATTAATGCAATATCAGATGTTTTATCTCTGAGATTACAAGTTTGGAAGTTGTGATAGAAGTTAAAAGATAAAAGTTTTCAAAAATATAAATAATAATGACAGTTTTATGAGTATGAATCACAAACCTATGTATTCAATTCACAAATTTATGAGTATTAAACACAAATTTTATATACATTCAATTTAAAAATGTACCAGTAATACATGTTTATGAGTAAAAATCAACTACCCTAGATAAAGTCTTCACACTTTTCACCAGTTGGTGTCAGTAATGCACCTGTAGGCTGTTTGCTAACAGCCATTAAAGTAGAAAAGAAGGTTTTGGAAGCCTTTTTCTTTTCAAATACAAATCTTAAATTAATTCATATTTATGCCTTACAATTTCCAATACAGATGCCTACATAAACGTTTTTTAGTAATATATTTTTTTAAGGTTTCAAATATAAAGAGGTTTGCTGCCGTTTTTTATTCTATCCTCTCTAAAAATAACTGCTGGATCTTACAACTTTTCTGCTCTGGACATACATTTCTTTATGGCACTGAGATCTTTGTGATGCTGATTATAAACACGTGATTCACATGTTCTATTACACATGCGCTACACATGCTTATTTCCCACAGTCTATTTTAGACATCAAATAAATCTGCTATATTTTGTCCTGCTGATGCTCATTCATACAGTAGCAGCGATTCAAAATGGCCCTTTCCCAGTCAAATACCAGCAGAACGGCAGCCCACTTCCCTGCAATTCTCAGCAGAATCTCCTCCAACATGTTTGCATATTTTTTTACTGTGACTCCACCGTTTCTGTGAATTCCTGCGTCCGACCAGGATATTGGAGTCCCTCTATAAATCCTAATGTCCATAAATCATAAGAGAAGGAATTTTGTGAATGGCTACTTCTGTATATATAAAGTAAAAGCAGATAGGGAGCGATGTCGAGCCCCCATAACCACGGTGGTTAACAGGTAAACGCTGCTGCTTGCTCTTTTCTATGAGTATAAGTGTGGAAGCAACAACCGATTCTTCTATTTGTTCACCTAAAATTGAAGATTATTTCTTAAATCTATAGGATTATTTTTCCATATTTAATTTTAATATACTATAGAGAGGCTGAGGTATGAAGCAGAAAGATCTGGTTTAAAAAGCAGCAGAAAGGGAATCTATTCTTCTGAACCAGAGAGATTTACCAAAACGACCGGCTGTGGGGTGTAATTTTTTATTTTTAAAATGCTAAAACCTTCAGATTAACATAATAGATATTTAACAAGGAGTCATTAAATATCTGCTGGAAGCTGATTACTTACATTAAAAGTCAAGACCTCATTAAAAGCTTCTGAACATCAACAACCAGAGGGATCAAAGCAACCAGCTTTAATGTGCTACATTAAAGATACTTTTTCTAGCATTTGTGAGCTCATGCATGTAATTTATTTTAAAAAAATCTCTTATCAACTATTTTACAAACTGATGATTTTATTAGGGCTGTTCAGTGGTGCAGTGGGTAGCACTGTCGCCTTGCGGCAAGAAGATTCGGGTTGAATTCCCAGCCCGGCTCTTTCTGCATGGGGTTTGCATGTTCTCCCTGAGCATGGGTGGGTTCTCTCCGGGTACTCCTGCTTCCTCCCACAGTCCAAAAACATGACTGTTAGGTTAATTGGTTTCTGTAAATTGTTTTTAGGTGTGTGTGTGACTGGTTGTTTGTCTCTGTGTTGCCCTGCAATGGACAGGCGACCTGTCCAGGATGCACCCCGCCTCTCTCCTGTAGAAAGCTAGAGCATCCCTCCCGACCCCGCTTGCGATAAGCATGACAGAAAATGGATGGATAATTTCAATAATTCTGATTAAAATGTGAAATAGTGATGGAAAAGGTAGAGAAATTTGTGAAAGTTACAAGTAAAGCGTGACATTTCTGCAACAGGTATATTATCTGTGTGTTTTTGCACATGTTTGTGTCTCACAGCTCTTCAGTGTTCGGCGGCAGGTGCTCTGGGAACTTGGTGAGTCGTAGATTGGAGCAGTCGACCACATTGGCCTCACAGCGACATTTAGCAGGACACACAGGTTTACTGTTACATTCGTGGCTCAGGCGTCGGTCTTCAGCACCTCCATACAAACACACACACAGAGATTGGATGAAAAGCCAGCCGTAGAAATCTTCTAAAAAAATGTCTAATTGTTTCTGTGAATGTGAAAATAATGGCTCTAAATGCAGACATATTTACCTGGGATGTGGTACTGTTCCTTGGCTGTAAGGAAAAGCAATCAGAGACGAGTTTGTCAGTGAGAATTACACTCGAATAAAAGGTGTACAGAAATATTTAATAACAAACATCCAGCAGGAGAAAAAACAAGGTTTGATCGTCCTTTTTTCAGGCCTTGCAGCTTTTTAAGGTTGTGTGAGAACAGCCTGATATTAACCTCTGCTTCTTTGGGTTTATGCAGGCCGATGTCACAAAGTGGGAGATGAAACTTACCCAGATCCTTTACTTACAGCTGTCCAAATCTCAATAAAATCTTTCCCAATTTGCTATCTTTTTTTTTTATTTGCTTATCTTATAGACAAACTTTATAACACTCTTAAATCTAGACTGTTATTAAAAACAGAACAAACACAAACAGTCCCATACTGTAGGGTTAAAGATTCAGAAAGTCTCTTGAAATAAATCCGCAGGCATTTCAAAGCAAATATTTGAAATATAAAAAAAATCGAAATCTAAATTAGTCATTTTTCTCAAATTAAGTGCATTTGTTCTTGAATTGAGGAGGTAAGTGAGACACTTTGCCAATGGAAGAAGACAATTTACATTTAAAATAAGAAAAAAAAAACAATTACATTGTCTCATTTCAAGTGTATATTATCTGATTATCTTGTTTTAGGAGTAAAAATATTCATTCCATTGGCAGATCATCTTATTTACCTGCTCAAATTAAGGGTAAATACACTTAATTTAAGTCATTTTTTGCTTGTTTCTAGATGTTTTTTGCAGTGGATCTGCTCTTCTTTGGTTTTAGAAAGGTTAAAACGCTAATCTACAGAAAGACAGAGCCTAAAGGAACAGAGAGATTTTAGACCTCTGAGGTTGTTTTTTTCTGAGCTTAAACCAAACCTCCAAACACCGTTCCAGAAGTTTGTAAGTTTGTAGAAGTCTAATCTGTTCAGTTAATTCAGAGGGAAACCTCCCAGCACACTGGACAAATGATCTAGAAGTAAGTAAAAAAATGACTAAATTAAGTGTATTTACCCTTAATTTGAGTAGGTAAATGAGATGGTTTGCCAAGGGAATAAGTATTTTTACTCTTAAAATAAGATAACTAGATAATATGCACTTGAAATAAGACAATGCAACTGTGTTTTCTTATTTTAAGTGTAAATTGTCTTGTTCCATTGGCAAAATGTCTGTTTTACCTCCTCAATCTAAGAACAAATGCACTTATTTTAAGAAAAAAATGACTTATCTAGATTTTGATTTTTCCCAGTGCAGCTGGTGGTTTTTAAGATTCCTGCAGAAACCTGCTTCACATGTAGAAAGACGCAGACGTACCGGAGCATCTGAACTTGTTGCTCTTGATCTGAGCAATGCGTTTGTTGGCAAGGCGGCGAGGGCTGGCACAGCGAGCTCCGCTGGTCTCTATCGGGTTCGAACTCAAGAAGTCAGCCAGCCACTTCACATGACAGTCACAAACAAACGGGTTTTGGGCCAGGTGGCTGAGGAGACGCCACAAAGCGGTGAGGAGAGCAACCGGATCAAACACTGCAGAAGGTGCTTCTTGTTTTACTCACAGGGTCTGGATGCTGTGCAGGGAGCTGAAGGTTCCCTTTGCCAGACTCTGGATCTTGTTGTCGTATAAAGATAGAAGGGCCAAGTTTTCCAGGTCTTTGAATGCTGTGGCACGGACACAGTGGATTTTATTTGCATTCAGCAATCTGCAGAATAAGAAACTGGGATCAGAAATTCTTAGATTCTTTACTTTGATTTCTTTGTTATGCATAAAATAAAGATGATATACGTAAAATCACTTGCATTTGATGCATAAAACATCAGATTTCATCATAACGGACAGTTTTAACAGCAATATTGGAGCGAATGGAAACAGAATAAACTTCATGACTTGGAATTAACACATTAAGATATTTTAAATACTTTTTTTATTTTGCCTCATGTCAACTTTCTATGAGATGGAACGTTGTGATGCGACTCTGATTGATGGGGTATTTTAGACTTACAGCAGCTCAAGAGAAACCAGGCCATCAAAAACTCCACTGGGTAGCTCGGTGATTTTATTACCATACAAAACCCTGCGGAAAAGAAACAGCAGGAGACACTTTATACCTGCTTTTATTGGCTCTTTAATTCCATAAAAGTGCACACAATTTATAACAAAGATACACGTTAGAAAACAAGTCAGAAATAAGGCATAGCACATGATTATGCAACATTCATGATCATTGGTGCCATGATTCCAATTCTCATCTAAAAGTGTATCTTTGAGCTGCAACCGTTCTGCAACACACCAGAGTCAATTACGTCAATTCTGTTCAGTCATGCTGGTTACACAGGATCAGGTATGACTATAAAACAATGATTCATTTCAAGCAGGATGAGGAAAAGTCATATTTTATGCCTATTTCCTCTGTATAAAATGTGGTCAAAATGTGAAATTTGGTTTTAAGAGTGAGTCAATAACAAGTTTGCTCTTAGCCGGGAGAAAAAGGTTTCTGTCAGCCCTATGCTCCTCAGTCCAGATTTCTCACAGATGTAGCTATACTTATATGGTGGCTGTGGGGTGCAAACGGCCTGCAAATACAAGAAGTACTGCAGAGAAAATTATATGACTAACAAAAACAAGACATGCAAAGGACAAATATTCCAAATGATAAATACCGTACTTGCAGAAAATAATAAGCAGCAAAGTGCAAAT